CTGAGCGTCTTATTGAACGGACAAAGTTTTGCATACAATAAGGATGGTTAAAAAAAATTTGTATTCTTTTTGCGGGATTGAAAACATATATATAAATGGCTGTGCATTTTGAAGAAAAAAAAAAAAAACAATAAAATAATAAAATAAAAATATCAACATGGGACGAATGAAAACAAATTATAACAAAGCAAAGGTGTCGAATGAGGTACGCGGTGCGTGTATGTATGTGTGTGCGTGGTTGTGTGCACTTGGCTCACTTGTGTGTATTTTTTGGAGAATGTGGTGTGAGAGAGATATTCGCGTGGTAGAACAAACAGGGGTCATGTCGCACAGTTATGCGCGTTTGGGTCGGTTTGGATGTGAATGCAACGCTACGAGCTCAGAAAATGCTTGTGACGATGACATAAATTTTCTTGAATAAATTAACATTGGTGGTCCAAATGAAGTGGAAGGGGTCCACGAAGATGACACGGAGGACGCTGGCGCCATAGAAAGGGGATGTGGACTCCTGCGCGTCTTTTCCCTCTGGTCCAGGGAGTACCTCCTCAGGAGCAGCACTGTCGTTTATAAGAAAAGGGAGTTGGTTCATCTGTATTTGTTCAACGGAAAAAGATAATCCCTCATCAGTAAGCTGCTTGGAAGATTTGTGTAAGTCCCAAATGAGGGCAGGAAAAATCTGACTCAAAATATTATTACGTATAAATACTGGAATATTCACATCATAGTACACGGAGATCACATACTCCAGTCCTTTCTCATATGAGTTTTTGTTTTTTGGGTAAAGGCAGAAAAAATTTTCATAGTCCCGTATACGTGTGTAATAACTGCTATCGGAAAAAACATTATTAACAGATTTATTGGCCACAAGCAGCATGTTTTCCTCTGGTATATATTTTTGGTAAAATTCATACACTGTGTCATGGCTTCTGAATGGCCAAGGAAGTCCGTTGATTAAATATATGTATCTGCGATTGGCTTTAACGTGTTCATTTTGGAGGATGTATTTGCTGGCGTCAATTTTTTCTCCATTTTTAAATTTATCCAGTATAGCCTCCTTAGTCAATTTGAGGTAATTAATTTTGTATATATTTTTGTTCCACTTCTTAATAATGTCAATGTCGTTCAGAGCCTGACTAGCTCCGTATAGAGACACATCATCCAGCGTTCCATAGCCTATAAGATCATACCTGGTTTTGCTTTTGTCTTGCAAAATATTTTTGTACAGCGTTACTTCCTGTGACTTGTGAAAAGGTTCACAATTATTAAAAGAAAATTGATTGTTCCTTATTTTTTTACACACATCGAGGTAATGATTCACCATATTTTTTTCCATGAGAGGACTGTCCTTCGTTGCTACACTTTGCGGTGGTAATTCTTCCATTGCTGTTGCATGATCTGCGTTTCCAATGACGTTTACATCCCCTTCTGTCTGTTCTATGAGAAGAGGCTCATTTGCTGCTTGTTCCAGCTCGTGCAACATTCTGAAATGGGGCATATCACTGGGTACGATGCACACGAGGTTGCTGCTCTTGCTTCTCTCCTTTTGTCTGACTTGTTCATAACTTTTTGAAAACGGAAAAGCACTTTTTCGTGAAAATGCGTATACATCTTTTCCCCCCCTACCTTTGCTCAAAATCAAATCGCTTCCCTCATAAGAAGAGGATTCCCACCTACTGAACAAATTCATCCATTTTAATCGTCCATCTCCGTAAAGGTACTGCACAAGTGCCAACAGGAGGGACAGTGCGAGCAATTTGCTTTTTTTTAAAATCATTTTGGAATGAAAGAGGGGAGAAAAAAAAAAAAAAAAAAAAAAAAAAAAAAAAAAAAAAAAAAAAAA